GGGGGGGCTGCTCCTATCACCTTCCCTTATACATCTATATTGGCCTTGAAAAAAAAAAAAAAAAAAAAAAAAGTACTAATGTGAGTATGTCCTAATTGAGCTTCTTTTCTTTTTTCTGGTTTTTTTTCTTTTTTTCTTTTTTTTAGCAGTTTTAAATTTTTACTTGTTCTGTGATTGGATATAGTATGTTTAACCCAACCATGCCTGGCTGGGGGATTACTGTTGTTCTGGTGGGCGGCACTATGGCCAGTGGCACACTCAACGTTGACGGTTCAAACCCCATGCCATGCCTTCCTCTCCCCTTCCTCTCCCCTTCCTCTCCCATTTTGGGAGGGCGACATAGAAAATTTGTGGTTAAGTTTTTGTTACAAAAGATCATGGGCTACGGTACTTACTCCTTGTCTGCCCTCTGGTCTCTGTCTCTGTCTCTGTGGTCTGTGTGTGTGTGTTTATCCCTCCTTGTCTGCGGTGTCTGTGTCCGTCCGTCTTTTGCTTCCCTCACCCCTCTCCCTCCCTCTCCCTCCCTCTCCCTCCCTTCTCCCTCCCTTCTCCCTCCCTTCTCCCTCCCTTCCTGCTGGATTTGCTGTCCTTTTTGTTTTCCATCTCAACAGGTACTCAGGGACTTCTTCTGTGGGCAGTCACTCTCGGTGCCCTCCTCCTCGGCGGAGCTCTGCTCATCTTTAACACTAGCGCTCTGTCCTAAATGTTGTATCAATACTTTCTAAATTTCAAGTGATTTTAAAGTTTAAACGACGTACTCTACTTTATCATTCAACTTCTTCTAAGCTTTTGACTTTGCGCCATTTGACTTTGCGCGACGATCGTGCTGCCGCCGCCGCCGACGTGCTCGTTTCTGAGACAAAGAATGCGTCTGTGTCAATGAGATGATCTCTCTCGGGATAACTCCGTCAACCCCCTGATGTACTCTCACTCAGTGGATTGATCCTCTGTGGGTTTTTTTTTTTTTTTTTTTTTTAATTTAGAAAAACATCGTTCAAGAAGGCGCATTATTGGGACTGGTAAGAGAATCCCTCAATACATATACATAGCGAGCCTCCCTCCCTGTGTGATCAATGGCTCCAAATGCATTGCAGGGGAGCTTCGCCAGCGGGAAACTGCGGGTACAGTGTCAAATGTGATGATTTGTGATCGATGCCCCCCACCCTTCCCTTCATAAGAAGACAGGCGGCAGGGATGCCGGACCCGTTTTCCAGCAGGTGCAGCTCCCCACCAATGGCTTGGAGCGGAAGCTGCACCTGCTGGAAAACGGATCCAGCATCCCTGCCGCCTGTCTTCTTATGAAGTAATGGGATGTCTGCTCCTACCAGTACCCCCTCCACCCCCTCCACACCCCCCGCCGATGTTTAGCAAACGAAAAAAAAAAAAAAAAAAACAAGAAGAAGAAGAAGAAAGGCGGCATTCGAGTTCTCACTACGCTCTTGCAAAAGGATTGACTGTCTGCTTTTTTTATCGGATCGCCAAAAACAGCACTTTTGGTTATGGGAAGTCTCGTGCTGCTGGTAAGGAGGCATATGTGGTTCCACCTGTGGTCCATCATGATATTGCCTTGAACCCACATGTTCCTTGCGCTTGCGCCTTTCCATCTGTGGTCTTTCCTTATTGACACGAAGAGAGCGCATATTTGGGGCGCCTTTCAGTCCAGTTATGACTCTATAATGACTGTGCGTTCTCTTCGGGTCAAAAGACCCTCCCCCCCGCCCCCTCACTTCCCTCGTTGTATCCCCTCCCCTCCCCAGCCCTGTGCACACCACACCCCCTCACTCCCCCGTTCTCCCATGCGTTGCTCCAGTGGGGGTCTTCATACTAGACCAGCAGAGAAATCACAACAGAAAGGGTTTTGAGGGGACAGTGGGGCGCAGGCAGGACCCATTCCTTCTTGCTTCTGTCTCCCTCTCTCTGCTCATAGCTCTTTCCTCGTGGACGAACCTCCAGGATGCATGGGTGCGAATTCTTAGCGGACGTCACGGGGATGTGTGTGTGTAAGGTCGGATGTCAGGAAAAAATACCGAATCTGTATTCACTGCAGTAACTACCGTCTTCACCCGAATAGAGCGCCCGGTCATTATCGCTGCATCTGGACCGAAAGTTGTGCCAAATACAGCTGTAATGACCGGGCGTTCTATTCGGGTGAAGACGGTAGCTGGGAGATAATACCCGGACCCATTGGCTGCGTTTGAGATGTTACATGGCAGCATTGGATGGAGAAAGTGGGTTGTCAAGCGTGTGCGCGTGAGAGATGTTCCCCGGAAGCCATGCAGGGGAAGAGAGGGAGGGGGGGGGGGGGGGGGGGGGGGGGGGGGAGAGGGGGGGGGGGGGGGGGGGGGGGGGGGGGGGGGGGTGTAGGGTGGATATCATAACCGGGATGGTTTCATTTTGAACACTGGCTGCAGTGGTTGGGGCACCGAGCTGTTAAGCTTGGGGTCGCCAGTTCGATTCGGTGTGGGGTCGGATCTCTATGTATTGATTGCATTTTCCTGTTTAAGCTTGTGAGAAACCAACCAGAAGGTGTTTTCTGTAGGTCTGGTAGGTGGAGCACCGAAGGGAGCGTCGGAGCATAAATGGCTGGGAAAAAGGTAGTTTAATTATCACTTCCATGGTTGGCGCCTTGCTATGGCATGCCTTCAAGTTAAGTTATGCCTTATGTCCTCCTCTCAGATTGACGTTCCATGCTGGCTTTGGCTGCTCGCAAGGCCATTCTCTTTCTTGTGGGTTGAGGGATGGGAGTGGAGGGCTCATAAGCAAATAGCCAGCCCTCTGTCCATCTCTCCTTGGATTCACATCAGTCGCGAGGTCCACAATTCTGTTGGAGTCCTGACCACAAGGCCCTTGCAGTTGTGGTCCGCGCGCTTTTAATCCCACCACCCCTTCTGTTATCTGTTGTTCCTTAGGGTGTCTTTGCACCACTCACCATCCAGCAATAGCTTGAACCCATCTGGACAGATATGGAGTCAGATGCATTCAAAACGTTGGTGGATGGTGTCTGTTGCACCAAGGCCCTTATATACAGTCGTCATCCTAGGGGGACCAGTACCTTTCCCAGCCATTTTGCCGAGACGCGCCAGGGAACGCGGGCGCCACGCGGGGAAGGGTCGCCGTTGATAAATCGAATCGGCGGCCCTTTTTTCAGTTCGGCCTTCTTTTTTTTTTTTTTTTTTTTTTTTTTTTGGGAAAAAGTAAAGCATTTCCATTATCAATGTTCAAAAACATCTAGGCCGGGAATCCTCACAAACAACCCGGAAGTAACTGAGCCCTGGGAGCATTACCCAATTTCGCTTCTGGTCCTTACAGTCTACTTACTCATTCAGTAGCTGTAACAAAAAGTCGAGTCGAACCCTCTGCTCTTCGGAAATGACTCCTGTAATACAAGCCTACTGTGCTACAAGTTGCCTGAACGGTCTAAATCGACCTTACTGGAGCATAGCTCCCTATCAACCTTGCACTCCCTCCTCATGTCACGTTCCCCAACCTTCCACTCAGACTGCCTGCCTACCCGCGGCTAAACGTACCGAGTGCACTGGTACCTACTCCTGTATCTCCTTCACCCAGGTACAAAATTCCAATTTGCCCTTCGCAGCTATTCTTACCAACCGAGCCGAAGTTTTACTCTTACACCACTTTCTCTGAAACCATCGATGCCTCGCATACTACTCCGAGGCCGCTGAACTTTTCTGTTCCAATCCGCTTTGATATACTGCCTGATGTGGTTGCAAATCAACGATTTGGTAGCCTTGTCAGAAGTCCCTTTGCCCTTAAAACACGCTTTGTTCCTGATTTCCCAGATCACAGAAATAATGATGGCTCTGCAGGCTTGAGCAACATACCCACACCCTTCCGCAATCAACGCTTTCTGGGGAATGATGCCCATAAGCGCCCAATCCTTGTCCCAATCCCAATCCCATTCTGCAAAGTCTCGCCAGTGGGAAGCCCACCATTCCCAAATTCTGCGTGAGGCCGGACAGTCCCACCAGAGGTGGATTGTGGATTCAAACGGCCACACACATCTACTGCATGACAGCCAAACCTGCATCCCTTTTCCGGTCAGCCAAACTGCGGAGGGTGTTACCAACATAGAGAGGAGCCATAGGATTCCCGCGTGTCTCTGAGATGGCAATAGCTTCAGCTGCTTCCAAAGGCGAGGTAAGCCCTCTGCCATCTTCTCTCCAGAGTTCATCGCTACTTCCCATCTTGCTACAGCCACTTGATTCGTTTCTCAGCCGGAAAATACGCTCACCATTCTGGGCAGGGGTATAGTCCACGCTTGGAGAAAGGTAAAACCCAATACCTGGGTGGAACCTGTAAGCAAGGAAGAGGTTCTACAGCAACCGATCTTTGATAACCCTCAAGTGCTAGACTCAGACGGACGTATGTTCAGGGCCAACAGAGAAACCGGCTCTTTTGGGGACAGCTGGATCAGGAGAGGTGTACTGAGAGTACGGGATCTGTGGGAACCCTTGATAGGTCAATGGGCCACGGTGGAGGCTGTAAGAATGAAGTTGGGTAACTTACACCGTGTGGAAGAGAAACTGGCTGCTGTCACACAGGGTATCTCAGGAGCCTGGAAAGCGATTCTGCGACCAGAAGGCCTGGACCCTCCGGGTACTTGGTACATACTCAGCGAACAAGGCGGCTCTTTGCTGTGCTGGAAGCTACAAGAATACTCATTGCACGGGGCCCGAATCTTCCAGGAGTGGACGAGACTGCTATACTCGGATCGTCTGACCAGAACTAAGAACAACAATCCCCCTCCTCTAGGAGCTGCACTCACACAAGTTAGAGTGGAGGAATGCACGGAAGGGGAACAAGTACTGGCTGCTTCATTAAAGCTGGCGCTATCTATCAGTAAAAGGAACTTGGACCCGGCTGCGTGGGGATGGAGAGGACTTGCCCGAGGAGGGAGCACACGCCATTGGATAAAATGCAGGAATCGAACAGGATACTCTCTCCAACGAGACTTGCAGACACAGCCATGTGTCTTCTGGACGTGGCAGGTCCCATTCCTCAGAGAGGATGTATTTTGCCAACTGCATCCAGTGGTCCATACCATAATTATTCGTCGCTTTGAGAATCCAATTGGCTAACAATAGAAGGTTGCGTCTTTGAGGGTCACATACTCCCAGTCCTCCTTCCTCCCTAGGCTGGACTATCAATTCCCAAGCAACTTTTGACATAAACCCATTCTCAGAGTCAGCTTTCGGCTTCCAAATAAACTTTGCTGCCAGTCTGCAAATCAATGCTAATAGCGATTTGCTCATTAGTCTGACCGAGCCCACGAACCAAAGAAGGGAGAACAGTGAAGCATTGATTACCATAGCTTGTCCAAAACTAGACAGATGTGGGGCCGAACCACATGATTTCACCCGTGTTATGACCTTGTTCTGAATGATTTCCTCCTGGACTTCTTGGCATCCTTCCATCGCAACCATGACCCCCAAGAAACGTTCCGCTGCACCTTTCTCAATTCGTTTCATGCCCCAGTCAGTTTCCAGCGAGCTTGACTGGGGGAGAAAATAGACAGATTTCCCTCAGTTTACTGCTGCTTCTGAAAACAGGCAGTATTCATCCAACAGTTGTTTTAGTGCCTCCAGAGCTGTTGTCGAGTTCTCGCAGACCGCGAACAGATCGTCTGCGAGCGCCTTTACCTTGCATTCCGATCTGTGGAGGGCTAGTCCACAGATTTCTGGTCTCTGTCGGATATTACTCAGAATAACTTCTAATTGTAAGACGAAGACCAGCGGTGCCAAGGAGCATCCCTGACGGAGTGAGCTGGTCAGGGCAAAAGGTTCTGAAAGAAACCCATTGACCATTACGGGTGCAGTTGAGTGCGTGTACAGTGCCACTACCCATCTACAGAAGGAACTTCCAAAACCCATTTTGCGCAATATGGTAAGGACAAGCCCCAATTAACTCTGTCGTATGCCTTTTCCAGATCAATCAGCAGGACTGCTACTGGACGATCTCCCCTCTCCACTATCTCCAACGTTTGAATTGCCGTGACTATATTATCGAATATAGACTGACCTTGCACAAATGCTGCTTGATCCCTCTCCACTAGGCCTGGTAAGTACCGTGCTAACCTTCTTGCCAATGTTTTGGCCAACAGCTTATAAGAGACGTTTAATCTGGAGATCGATCTCCAGTTCCTTATCTCGCTCCTCTCACCTTTTTTATACAGCAGCGTGATCACCCCGTGTCTCATGCTGGTGGTCAGTTCTGTGCCCGTTAATACCCCGTTGTACAACTCTAACAAGGAGCTGCTGATTTCAGACCAAAATTGGTCATAAAACTCAACTGTCAGCCCATCTGAACCTGGTGCCTTACCCTTGGCCATTGACTTCATGGCAAGTCGAAGCTCCTCTTCCGTTATAGGCAGGTCCAGGTCCAGTCTGCCATGGGCTGGAAGTCAGGCTTCCATCACATTACGGGTGAGGTTGTCCTGGCCCGTTTCCTGTTCATCCTTATTCCTACGGGAAATTAAGATATCACTAAAATACAGTCCGGCATACAAGCACATTTCTTTCGAGGTTTTGGCTTCACTCGCCTGCTGGTTAAAAGGATGGGCTAACGACTTCATTTCCTTAAGATAGAATCTGGGGAGCAGTCTTTGGAAGACGGATTTTGTCATCCTGTCACCGGACTCAATGCCCTTGACTGTTAAGATCTCTTTCCACCTGTCTGATTTAGCTTCCTGCAACTCATCCCATGTCCTCATCCTGAGTCCCCTCTCATGAAGCCAGCATTTGGCTTCAACTGAACGTGGGGGGAACATAGCAATTATGCGGTCTGCCTCTTCCACCGACTTTTTCACCACAGCCTCTTCTTTGTTAGCCTGCAAACCTATTATCTTAGAAAATGCGCTCAGCATGTTAGAGACAAAGTAGGTAAGGGCGTCCCACCATACTGTTTATGACTCAAATTTGTTTATTCTAGTCGTCCATTTTTCAATCTGATCCTCTATCCAAGCCCTCACGCCCGTATCTCTAATAATGACTTCATTCAATCTGAAGAGTCCTCGCCCACGATCCGGACCTACACCCCACATCACATGGATGGTTACTGGATTGTGGTCAGATACTGGATGGGAAGTGGTTGTGGCGTTAACCACATTATTCCATATTGACTGCGAGGTCAGGAAAAAGTCCAACCGACGTGATGCTATTCTTCTGTCTGCAGACTGAGCTGGGTACCAGGTGTACCCCACATCCTCTGGGTTCACTACACGGAACACATCCGCTAGGTCCAGTTCGATGACTAAGTCCAGGAGCACATCAATGTCTCTTCCTACCCTGGGTGACTGAAACAGAGGATTAGCATCATCTAAAGAGGCGTTCCAATCACCAGCCAGGATAAGATTGTCCACATCAGGCAGACATTCCATTAAATTCTCAAAGAAGATTGTCCTTTCCGACCTCACTGACGGAGCATAAACAGTAGTGATCGCCCATTCCTCGTTGCATCCAAATTCCTACGTACCAAGATGGCTACACCCCCTCTCAGTTCCTCAGCTGGGGCCCAGATCTGCGGCCCATCCCACCACGCGCCCAGCTCAACGATCTTATTTTGATCGAGCTTTGTTTCCTGTATGCATAGGATCTGGATCTGATTCCCATGCATCCAGGCTTTAATTCTGTGTCTTTTACTCCTGCCCCCTGTGTCCCCTAGGCCCCTTACATTCCATGTAGCAATCTTAACATTAAGCATTACCCCGGGAGCAACCTGAGTGAGATTGGATGTTGGCAGAAGGAAGTTGGTTGTTAGCTTTAGCGGATCGTGTTTGCGCGGTATTACTTGTCTCCCACTGTTGAGTCAGGTAGGATCGGAAAAAGGGGGAGTTCAAAGATCTTGCTTTCGTAATCTTATGCGAGATTTTACCCAAGCAAGTTGCATCCAAAGTTCCTAGTAAGGTTATGCGCGCTAATCTGGGCAATCTATCTGGGACATCCAGTCTATCGGAAACAGACTTAGACCTCTATCAGGTCTGATCGTAGCCTGTTCACTGGCATACGGCTCATAGACGATGTCTCTGTGTTCGTACGATTCAGCAAAGGGGATAAAGAATCTAAGAGGAAGACACTCGAGTTGTTGGGAGAATTTGAACGGTGTTATGATTATAATCTGGTGCTCGAGAAGACTAGTGAAGGAGACTCATGGGATTTTCTCGGGTACGCGATGACCATATTGCAGCATCGATCGGTTCGTTGCGTAGCACTGCATAGGAACTTACGAGCTATCTTCCAGCAAACCATCACTTTCCAAGCTATTCAAGATTTCTGCTCATATTCGTCACGGCAACAGAAGATGGCTGTTATCGCTTCTTTCTTGCATTGTTGCAGGAATCTTACTAATTTGCATGGTGCTGAATCTGTCTTTCTTTTCGCGTTGAAGGTTGAGTTGTGGGGACGAGATTACCCCGATTTCATGTTTGACTTGGTGATGAGAAATTTTGCCGCAAGATTCGGGGGTGTCTGGTTACATTGGGCACGGGTATTCTCTGGCTGGGCGAGGCTTGTGTGATTTGAATATCCGGGGGCCCATGACATGGGTCTGCGTAGGTCTGTGTGGTGCGAATCTGTTTGCTGACATTAGGTATGGGTATTCTCTGACTGGGCGAGGCTCGTGTGATTCGAATATCTGGGGGCCCATGACGTGGGTCTGCGTAGGTCTGTGGGGTGCGAATCAGTTTGTTGACATTCGGCATGGGTATTCTCTGACTGAGCGAGGTCGACGTGATTCGAATATCTGGGGGCCCATGACATGGGTTTGCATAGGTCTACGTGGGGTGAATCAGTTTGTTGACATGAGGGATTCTGGTTTCAGGGCATGGGACAGTGGGTCTGCGGAAATAAGTGGATCGAATGAGTGATTCAGGACGTGTGATTCTGGTACCGGGGGTCTATGTACGCGGTGCAGTGGGCTGGTGAAGGTAAGGCGGGTCAATATAGGGGACTCCGAGAATGGGACCCGCTATGATTGGTCCGAAGTCCGGGTTTGATATTCTGCTTTGAATGTGGTCCGAAGACCCTCTTTTTGCATCAGAACCCGAGTAGGTAATGTTGGGTCGATACAGGGAAAAACCCGTAGTTGGTCCCAATAGGAGGTCTCCCGGTTAGTCCATTGGTATAAAGGTCAAGAGAACCACCCGGTGGGCGGCCGGCCGAAACGCGTAGAGTCGCACGCCATTTTGACGCTGCTTCGGCGTTATTCTGTCGGCAGTATCCGGGGATGGTGCTCGACGACAATTCCCCCTCTGGGTTTCATACATTTTTAATCCCCGTTTGTGCTCATGATATTTTGGTTCATCGATCTCTGAGTGGTGTTCGGCTTGACCTTTGACGTCGTGTCCGTCCTGTTTTTCCCCTTCTCTCCCCCCCCCCCCTCTCTCTCTCTCTCTTTTCTCTCCTTCTCTCTTACGGAAGAGCGATGTACGATGTTTGTGGATGTATGCATGATCACATGTGTGAATGAATGCAAGCTTCCTCTACCCATCATCAAACGGAGGTTGTCCTGAGTCATTCGAGCGTCCAACAAAGGGATATACAGTTTAATTTTCATACCTGGACGATCAATGAAGATCCTAGGTGTAGGGATATTCGGGATAGCTCTTACCGCTATCTCTGACCCATATAGTCTTCGTGTGATTGTGATCATGTCCGTCGGCATCGGAGGAGAGGGAATCTGTGAGTAGGCAATACCGTCTCTGTCCCAGATACCGCCCTCGCCAGGCCAAAGACCCCTTCCTGGACCGCTGTGAAGAGAAGAGGCAGCAGGTACTTCTTCCATTCTTGATCGCTTGACTTTGAAAATGTAATTTGACGTCTGTTCCTCTTCATCGATTGAAGGGGCGATGATCCTCCTCTAGCCGAGCCGTGGATGTGTCCTGCAGCTACTGAAGTTGAGGACGATTCGCCGTTGATTTCTTCACGGATACGCAGATCACGCATGTCCTCACTGAGCCTTCGACGTAACTTGGTTGGAGTGTGCTCGACTCCTGAGCGAGTCTGATTCCTGGCCAGTAGGGCTCCGGGGATTTTCGTGCCCCCCACCCCTGATGAAGACGACTTACTCCTTTTCTCGACTTGGCTCTTGCTTCTTGTATCTCGTTTGGCTTCGTCGTGAGTACTATCCACCAGTATCCGCCTTGTGTAGACTTTTCCAGCCTGGTCTCGCCTCTTGTTGGGGAGGGCTCAACCCGTTCCTCTGGACGCTTTAGCCTTCCACGGCCTCCTCCACTTGTTCGTGCTTCCGAGGAAAACATCGGATTGTCCCGAATGCTGGATGCATGCTTAGTTGACGGGCCACCTCTTAATTCCGGTCTTGGTGCCCCTGGGGGGGGCAGTACCCCGTTGTAGGAGGGAATTTTTCCACTCCTAGCCGAGGGTTTGGACTTTGTTGATGACGCCTTGTTTGATGAGGATGTTTTGGACGAAGAAGCTCTGGATTGCGAGGCTGGATGGCTCGCTACTACGATGCGGGCTGGATTGTCTTGACGCGTTGGACGTTGGAGCATGGCTGCTTGACTCACTTGGTGTCGGGCTAGGGGATCGACGGCGTTGTCTACGAGGGCATTGATCGGCTAGGTGGAAAAATCTACGGCATTTGCTACACCATGGAGACCGAGCGTGTGCCACCTGAACCGTGATGACTTGGCCTTGAAACGTTGTGAACTCGAAGGATTCCTTCAGCCTGGACAGCACTTCAATTGCTATGTCCAAACGAACGTTAATTAACCTCGGAGTACGAGCATCTTGTTCTGGAGGGTAGACCTTCCGTACTGGACCAATAGCTCCTTCCGCTGCCGCCTCGAGGTAGCAGTAGGTGTCGATCGGAACATCGATCACCCTAATCCAAAAATATTGCCTGTCTTCATCCCGCCTTGCGTCCTGAATCTCTGCCTTGGTCATCCATGGTTTGAATGCCATCGAGTACCACCTCCCCCTCAATGCTACCCTTATCTCTTTCTCCTCAAACATCCATTCTGTCACCGCTTTGTCCTTCGCCACATAGGATAGGACATTGCTTGACTCTATACAAACTCTCCCTCTCATGATTACCTCATCAAACCTTTTCTCTCCCAACCAGATATCTTCAAATGCCCTGATAACCTCTTCCTTCAGCTTCTTCGGGAGGTTCTTCGAACCTTCCAGAAAGATGACGGTCACTGTTTTTTCCTTCAGCCATTTGACTTTAATTTTGTCCAATGAAGGATTAAGGATAACTTGTGCCTTGTTCCCATCTTCTCTTATCTCCCCGATATCCCACCCTGATGGCAGGATGCCCACGTCGTAGCATTTTGACAGCATATCGCGAACTCTGTCTTCCTCTGGCCAGTAATTGGTATGCGCCGGCGGGGGAGATCTATTTTGATCCCTGTTCTTTTCTTCCGCTTCAGCACCTGGCGTGACCGCTTCTTTTGGAATGTCCTCGTCTGCTCCCACCATGCCCACATCCCCCCCATGGGGTTGGGCTGCTTCATCTTCCTTGTTGTTGTCTACTTACATCTCACACATGCTCCTGGCAGATCCAGTCGAACCGACTGTAGGCCTTCGAGTCTTCAAGTCTTCTTACTTGGTTGACATGTGTACCTTGAGGCTTCTTGTTGGTCTTTGATGGTGAACGAGAACGGTCGGTACAGTATGTTGTAGCGATAGGACAGTACCATGCCACAGGTGGCTTCTTCCTTAGTTCTGAGTGTGGTCAGGATGTGTGGGCTGACCTGCACGTGGCGCGGTGGACGTCATTGCTTTCCACCTCGCGTCGCATGCAAACTCTATCGTCAACTTCGATAGCCGACGTTAGGGCGGTCAGACCGGCCGAAGCCGGTGGCGGCAGAACCGAGCGCTAGGTTTAGCGTCGCGAACTGGCACCCCCTCCCCGCCTGTTCGGCCTTCGGAAACTGCCCGCGGCCAAAAAAAAAAAAA